CATCCATCACCTCCAACAACGTCGACACATGTCATTGCCTATAAGGCAAATGTATGGTGCCAACATAGACACCAACGTCATTGAGGTCCTTGTTCGCCATCGTCAACAATATTTATGCATACCATAACTTATATGACCAATGTATCTCGTCAACATAAATGTCGATGCCAATTAACTTCGCTGCTCACTGTCGTCACCATTAACGTATGTCAAAGCCTCTAAGGCTGATGCATGTTATCAACACAAACATCGATACCGTGCCAACTTAATTGTCTATCGTCATTGCTAGAGTTGTGCATTCCATCTCTTATAAGGTCGACGCACAAGTCGGCACAAACATTGACACCTATTGACTTTGGCATTGGCCCCTCGTCACCAACATTGATGCATGCCATTATTTATAAGGCCGATGAACACTGTCAACACAAACTCCGACGCATGGTGTCTCTATTAATATCGATGCATGCCATCATTTAAAAGTTTGATGCATGTCGTTGACACACATCTACCCCCGCCATCATCAACAACATCAATGCACACCATTGCTTATAAGGCTAATGCAGGTCATCAACATAAATGATGATGCACACTATTGCCAATATCATGGACGCATATTATCACTTATAAGGTTGATGTATGCTTTGATTCCACCATCAACTCCTGGTGAGTTGATTAATTGCCATGGTCAACAACGTCAATGCACGTCATTGCCAATAAGGTCGATGCATGTTGTTGACACCAACTCTGACTCTCAATATCAATGCTAAGATTTATAGTGGATTACTGGGTCTCTAGTCTCCTCTCATTAAGGGAAAATGTTTGAATATACCACAAACAATCTCTTGAAGTTAGCATCGACACATGTTATCGCTTATAAGGTTGATGTATGCTTTCGACATCTTGTTTTTTGCCCCCCTAACTACCTTAGTTGACCTATTTTCATGCAAATCGCAAGCCCTTGTCGTTGAATGAAAAAATACACAGCTCATTTCCAGGAGTTTTTTTTTTGCCCCCCCTGTGGCCCTGGCGGTCAAGGTGAGCCAAATCCTTCTTCCCGCCTTTATTGTTTATACTCCTTGTGCTTGTGGCTTATGACACCGTAAGTGTAAGGATTATATTAAAAAGCTTTAAAATATGAAACATATGTTGGTCCCCCTCCCCCCTTGTGGATTATATTCCAATGCCTATTGAATTTTCCTTTCGTTATTGTCATCAACATCGACGCATGTCATTGCTTATAAGGTCGATGCATGTCATCGTCATAAAAGTTGATGCTCACCGGCTTTATCACCCATCACCTCCAACAACGTCGACACATGTCATTGCCTATAAGGCCAATGTACGGTGCCAACATAGACACCAACGTCATTGAGGTCCTTTTTCGCTGTCGTCAACAATATTTATGCATACCATAACTTATATGACCAATGTATCTCGTCAACATAAATGTCGATGCCAATTAACTTCGCTGCTCACTGTCGTCACCATTAACGTATGTCAAAGCCTCTAAGGCTGATGCATGTTATCAACACAAACATCGATACCCTGCCAACTTAGTTGTCTATCGTCATTGCTAGAGTTGCACATTCCATCTCTTATAAGGTCGACGCACATGTCGGCACAAACATTGACACCTATTGACTTTGGCATTGGCCCCTCGCCACCAACATTGATGCATGCCATTATTTATAAGGCCGTTGAACACTGTCAACACAAACTCCGACGCATGGTGTCTCTATTAATATCGATGCATGCCATCATTTAAAAGTTTGATGCATGTCGTTGACACACATCTACCCCCGCCATCACCAACAACATCAATGCACACCATTGCTTATAAGGCTAATGCAGGTCATGAACATAAATGATGATGCACACGATTGCCGATATCATGGACGCATGTTATCGCTTATAAGGTTGATGTATGCTTTGATTCCACCATCAACTCCCGGTGAGTTGATTAATTGCCATGGTCAACAACATCAATGCACGTAATTGCCAATAAGGTCGATGCATGTTGTTGACACCAACTCTGACTCTCAATATCAATGCTAAGATTTATAGTAGATTATTGGGTCTCTAGTCTCCTCTCATTAAGGGAAAATGTTTGAATATACCACAAACAATCTCTTGAAGTTAGCATCAACACATGTTATCGCTTATAAGGTTGATGTATGCTTTCGACATCTTGTTTTTTGCCCCCCTTACTACCTTAGCTGACCTATTTTCATGCAAATCACAAGCCCTTGTCGTTGAATGAAAAAATGCACAGCTCATTTCCAGGAGTTTTTTTTTTTTGCCCCCCTGTGGCCCTGGCCGACCTTAGGTGAGCCAAATCCTTCTTCCCGCCTTTATTGTTTATACTCCTTGTGCTTGTGGCTTATGACATTGTAAGTGTAAGGTTATATTAAAAAGCTTTAAAATACGAAACATATGTTGGATTGTGCCTATTTATTTGAATTTCTTTTCCCTATGAACAAGATAGAGGGGGATAAATAGAGGCTTATGTATTGTTTAAGAATCAATTTTTATTATTTTGAAGTGTCAAAGTATAGAATAGATTTAATCTAATGAATTTTAAGATTTATTTGAAGCTAGTACTAAGTTGCTTCTTTGTGTTTTGTTTATAAATCAAAGTAACTCATTTTCTCCTTATGATAATTGATAAGTGAAAATTAATTGGGCTTACAGAGCTATATTTAGCAAGTTTTTTGCTGTTGAACTTGTGGCTCTTGAGCACTAGCTATCCACATACATTCTTGATATGCGTATTAGCGAGAAGTAGCGAGAAGTTATTATCTTTGGGTAACATTGCGGATCTTGCAAAATAATTTATTAAGGTTAAGAAAAATATTTTGCATCCCTTAGTTTACAAGCTTATTGTTTTAACATTAACTTTGCTAGTTGCCACTACTAAAGTGGAGAAAGCATTTTCTGTAATGAAAATTGTTAAACATCGATTACACCATAAAATGTGTGATGATTGGTTCAACAATTGTCTAGTGTCCTATATTGAGAAGGAAATATTTGATTTGATTCCGAATGAAGTTTTAATACAACATTATCAGAAAATGCAAATCTTGTATTTTTTTGAAATTTAACAATTATAATTCAATATAAGAGTTTGTTATATATATATATATATTATAAGCCCCTCACCCCCCCCCCCCCCCCCCCCCCCCCCCACCCCCCCCCCACACCCCCCCCCCCCCCCCCCACACACACTACACACACACACCCAACACACACACACATGCACACACACAACATAATAAGGATGGTTGGCCTTCATGCGGTGGGAAGCGGCTCAGCTCAGAATTGCATGGTGGGAGTGGCTCCATGTCTGGTGAGTTGCTCCCCAAACGCAACAACCCCATGTAGGCTACCATGCCATTGAGCTCATCAATGTTTCTTTGATAGGAAGTGGATGCAAAAATTAAGAAAATTGTGGCTGAAATTTAATTTCAGCAACCCATAAATTGCAAAATTAAGATGAAGAACACGCTAGCATGCCTTTTATTGAAATCGCTATTAAAGAAAGACGAGATACAATTGGATCTTCAATTGGAGAGAAGATTTGGTCTCTCCAACAATTCTAGCCACTAGCTAGAGCCCTCTCAACCTAGGTAAACTTTCAAAAACAGCAAAACAAAGACAAAGAAAAACTGAACCCCAGGGAAAAATTTTAAATCATACAATAACAAAATCCCAAAACCGCTCCTTGCTTTTCCCTTCTAGCCGCCCCCTCAATATTCAGAATTTGGGCCTACTTGAAAGGGTGGGATCCCCCCCTTTCTGCCCGGCATATGTCCTGGTTGGTTCTGGCCTCCAGGGTGGACCGGCCCTTCTATGACTGTTCCAGGAGGAATTGGTCTATCATTCTCCTCTTCCACATCACCTTTGGTTCTCTGACTGTCTTTTGCTTGGTGGACAATAGATGAAAATTATGCAAAAATAAAGGGTGAAGAATAATAGAAAACATGAAAGAAGATCAACACATAAAAATATTATATAGATTCATCTATTGATGGCTACATCCTTTTGTTGCCATTACAAATTTTATTATGGTTTAAGAATTACAACCCTATTTCATAGATACAAACATAAGGTGACACCTCTTATTTATAAAGTAAAATATAGAGCAGCTGAAATATTTTTCAGAACGCTCTTAATAAAATAACCACAAATTTTGAATATTTTTTTAGGAACTCTGCTACTAACTCCGGTGGCTTGGGAGCTTTTTTTTTTTTTTCATGCAAGACAAAATTAGGCCCCACAACGGAATGTTGATGCCAAAACTTCACAATTAGATTAATAAATTTCTTTTCTTGGCCAGAGCTTGCATGTTTTTTTTTTTGGACATTTTAGTCCATTAAGTCAAATCTATACACATATCACATACATAAGTTTTGAATCCAAAATTTTTTTGTTGATAGACAAAAGCTTCTTACTAACAGATCAAGATAAGCTGCATGTTTCATGATGTCATTCTTCATCAAAATGCTGCTGGGTTGATGTTCAATCTCAGATCTAAAGTCCTTGGAGCAAATCTGATCTCTATCTTCTGCATCAAACTAGCCAATGTTTTCAACATCAATGTGCCCCCCTCCATATAATAAACAAAAATTTAACTCTTTCAAATTTATCCTAGTGCAATAGCCCTTAAGGGAATTGATTCTTTAAGCATTTATTAGCAATCTTTCTAGAGAACCCAAAAGAAAATGATGTAGTTTGTATAATACTAATGTCCAGAAAGCTAATTTCATTCTTCTTATCCCTTCAAAGTAACCAATCAATTAAAACTTCGTTTGGGACGACTTTTTTCCTACTTTTTAAAGCTGCTTTTAAGTACAAAAATTAAAACTTTTGTACTAGAAAGTTGTTTTAAGAAGCAGTAAGAAAGCCGTCCGAAACGAAGCCTAAATGTCATAAATCTCTTTAGAGTATTCTATTCAGACCCGCGAATCTTTTCATCGAATTTTAATATGATTTTCATACAGTTAGCTGCAATGGAGATTGGTAAGCACAGCATACGGGTGAATGGCATTGCTCGTGGCCTCCACCTGGGTGACAAGTACCCCTTATCTATCGGCAAGGAGAGGGCCGAGAAGATGACAAACGAAGTCATGCCTCTCCAGAGATGGCTCGATCCACACAAAGATCTGGCCTCCACTGTGCTATATCTTATTGGTGATGATGCGCGCTATATGACAGGCACAACCATCTTTGTTGACGGAGCACAATCCATTGTGAGGCCTCGCATGAGATCGTTCATCTGAAGTAAGCATCAACCAATCCTTGCATCCGTGAGCAGCTTTTAATCTTCTGTTATTGCTAGAAGTTCATGGTTTCTGATATTGTCAATAAGTATTTGAGATAAATAATTTCAACTATGTTGGTTGTGAATTGTTATGATCAGATGGTAAGGGAATGGAAATCTTCACATTGTGCTTTCTATCCATCATCTTGTGCTCTTCTTATGTACTTGTTTTACCCTTCCCTTCAAGCATTTTATTTCAAATTAAAAAAAAAATACAAATTTTGCATTCTACTTTGCATTTTCTGATAATGTTACATAATGATTTCATTCGAAATAAAATCAAATACTTCTTTATTAATATATGACATTAGACAATCATTGAGTCAGGCATCATCTATTTTGTTATACAGTCGATGTTTAATAATCTTCATTGTAGAAAATGTCATCTTCACCATACCAGTAGCAATTGATAAAGTCAGTGCTAAATAATAAGTCTATAAACTAGGGGATATACAATATTCTTTTTTGTCTTTTACAATCTATTTTGTAAGAGCAGTAATGCTAGGTAAAGATGTAAAATCGTCGCTAGTACGCATATCAATAATATAAGTAGATAGTTGATGCTCAAGAGACATAAGATCAACCATAGAGAAATATGCTGGAAGAACTAAGAAGATGAGGGCGAAAATGAGGGCTTCGATGTGCGAAGGATGGGAAGATGAAGGCTGCTGCTTTGAAGATGAAGGCTTCAAAATTCCAAACTTACACCTAATACATTATAATTTTTTTTAGGGTGGGCCCTCCCTGACCTGACTTGGGATCCGCCCATGTATGTAGGTCCTGAGTTGGTCAATGTTCTAAATGCCTGTGCTTATGCTTGGATGGTAAAGGAATGGAAGTCTCCTTTAATCTGTTATCTCATCTTCTTGTGCTCTTGTTATGAACTTGTTTTACCATTCTCTTCATGCTTTATATTTGATTTGCTGAGTTGGTTAATCGATTGCTAATGTGCTATTAATACTCTTTGAACTTTAAGAGCCTGAGATGGCTAATCGCTGGATTCAACTTATGATATCAATAGGAAGCAAATACTTAAATTTTGTGGTTGACTGATTAGGATTCTAAACACAAATAAAAAAAATGGCTGGATTTAACAATCAGATAAAATTAAAAAATGCGCACATAAATCTTCTATTGTTAAATCCATGATCAGTTAAAGCAGATGTATTGGTAATGAAATTGAATAATTTTATTCACTGAATGATGTATATATGCATGAATGGTAGATGTAATATAAATAAAATAAATTAGAAATTGAATATAATTAAGGTATAATAAATGTTTAATTTTATCAATTTATGTACTCTCTTAATATTAATCATACTACTGTTTTTCTCCTCAATTTGAAGCATATATATTTGTTTTGTTGAGTCTAAAAAATTGACAAGACATGAAAATTTGACCTAAATCCGACTCTAAATTTTCAGGTTTGGCTAGCTCATTTGAAAAACGAATTGGGTTTGGGTCCCCTTTTATGATTCGGTTTAAATTTTTTATTGTGTTCGGGTCAACCCGATAACCTGAGTCTTGAAATCCCGATGCCAACCTCTCCACTTCTCCAGCCATGACATTCCCATAACTCAAATGGCCCAGCCCCCATACATTAGCAACCCCAAGCTTCCAAATTTTTGTTCAACTTGAGATACAAGAGAGGAGAGGAAATGAGAGATGACTCAAGAGCTTTGATGAAGATATTTGTCATTTGTTCTCAATTAAAAATAATAGTAACAATTTTTGCAGAAAATATCATACATGAAATGATAAGAAAAACATCTTTTTTTTTTCTAGTGAATAAATTACCTCGCACAAAATATAATACCCAAAAGATGTCATCAATAGATCCAACATAGTCGACCTTAGCATCAATCTGTAAATGTAAAGTCTGAGTATACAATAGCTTTTCCTATAGGCATGTTTAATGTAAGGAAATGATAAGAAAAACATCCCAATTTTTTTTATTCTTTACCCTGCATATGTTGACTTATGACCCCAAGCAACAAAAGATACAGTTGGATTGTGTAACTGTTATAAAAAGTCATTTTTTAATTAATCTTCAATAGTAAGATTGATAATCTTAGTGCATATCTTTAATGTATATTGATTGGTTGTCCATGGAGTTGTTAGATGGCCTACATCTTAAAATTCTAGTTTCTTCGAGGAGATCGCTGTCATATTTCACTCGAGATAGATAACTTTTTTGTTGTAAGTAATTTAATCAAAATAAAATATTTAAGGCACAGTAATGTTCATTTTGGATAGTTTTCTTGCTGCTTTATGAAGTAGTTTCATAGAATAATTTTTTTTTTTAATTTAAAATTTTTGAACTAGAAAGTTACTTCATATAGTAGGAAAAATGTCCCAATTGAAGCCTAAATATTTGATTAAAACATATTTTAGCAAGTAATATTTTACTTTAGATAAATTTTCTTAATCACTCCAAGTAAGCAATATATCAATTACATAACAGGCTAGTACAATTAAGCTTGTTGTTATATGTTTGATAATGATATAATGATAGACACCATAATTTTAAAGGGTAATTTTTTCAAGAACATCACAAAATTTATGAAATCAAACACAAACTAAACTTGAGCATATAAACGACCTCCTTGAATAGTAATATGAATTTCTTCCCCTATGCAAGCACAAGATGTTGCTTCATATATGCTATCTTATTCACATCAACCTAAGGAAGATGTTAGCTATATCCATTTACAATATGGTCCAACCTTGATTGATGGCTACAGAGCTTACAGTTTTGATAAAGTTGTGTTACAATTAGAGATAAATTATCAAAATTATTTAGCCTATAGACTTGAATAAACCATTGGCAACTAATCAAGCTGTATACTTGTTGCGTGTTGAACATTTGCGGCGATAGAGTGATAAAGAGCTTAATGTCTTAACTTTGAATGAAAATTCAACATACCAGACTATTTACATGAAAAATCTTGAGAAAAAAAGAAAAAAAAATCATGGGGCTTGGCCCATTGAAAATGACTCCACTAGTATTTGTCATTGGTTTACAAATGATGCCTTTCCGCAGGGGAAAACATTTGCTCAATGTAGAAAATATGCTTTGTATAAAGTAAATTACATAATTGAGGTTGGAAGAAACCAATGACATGAGATATGTTCTCAAGAGAATATTGGCTTGCTCGTTTGGTTAGTAAGATTGTATCCCACTATTGTCCCTCAAACTAGTGTCGCCTTACTAGTTTGAGGGATCGTAGGGATTGTGCTTAGTGGGAAACAGATGTTAGGGACCGTAGTTGACAAGCGACGGTAATTAGAGGGATCGTAGTCCAACAATGGAGGTTAGAGGGATCATAGTCGGATGATTGAGATTGAGGGGATCCTTGTCGTGTGATAAATATTGAAGGGATTGTAATTGGCGGGTGATGGGAGGTCGGAGAGATTGTAGTCAGTAGGCAACGGTGGTCAGAGGGATTGTAGTTAGGCAGCAGAGGTCAGAGGGATCGTAGTCGGACAACTGAGGTCGAGGGGATTGTTGTCGGGTGATAGAGGTTGGAGGGATTGTAATCAATGGGCAACTGAGGTCAGAGGGACTGTAGTCGACGGGTAACAATGATTAGAGAGATCATAGTAGTTGGACAAATTGAGATTAATGTGATCATTATCGGGTGGAAGAGATCAAAGGGACCGTAGTTAGCTGGTGACGGTGGTCAGAGGGACTATAGTCATTATTACGTGCCATAACATTCATGACAATGGAGAGATAAAGAGCTTAACGTCTTAGCTTTGAACAAATATTAAGCACACATACATATAAGAGATATGGATGTATCAATCATAAGAGACACCAAATTTTTATGTGAAAAAACCCTTAAAGGGGTAAAAACCCATAGAGCCTGGCCCAATTAAAATGATTCTACTAGAGTTGGTCGTTGGTTTGCAAATGATTCATTTACGCAAGGGAAGGTTTTGGCCCAAGGGGAGTTCATATTGCCAACAATGGTGAGAAGTTGATTCCACAACGATTGTCTTTTATCGAAAGAGTAGGAGGCATAGACAATCGAGGCCTCACAAACTGTCAAAGAAGTAGTGAGAATAGTGTCGTGAATGAGTTGACTGGAGGAGAAATGGGGTTTGAAGTTGCAAAGGTCGAGTTCCATTTTATCCATATGTGGATAGGAGAAGAGAGTGTGAAATTATCATAGGAGCCTTCGGAGGGGAAAACATTGCGGGTGACAACAAACCAAGGGTCAGTGGAAGGGTTTGGTAAGATTTTAGCCTCCAGGATGAATAAGAGGTTTAAATTGTGACTACTAACAAGCTGTTTATAGCACATAACTTTATATGGGCTATTAAATATGCGGACGTTCCGAACATCAAGTTTGGGATGGGTCAATGACTTTTGGTATGGGAGGTGGTTGCCTTTTTGGCATGTTTAGCTTTTGTGCTCTTGGGAATGTGGGAAGCTATTTGCTTGGGTTGTAGGGTTGAGGGACTATGGGCGAGGTCTTGTTGGTTAGGAGGGCAATTGGAAAGGGAGGAGACCAGGATAGAGGAAGAGTTCAGGGGATTGACTATTTGGGTGTGGTTGAGTGTTGGGATAGGGGGAGGTTGGCGGTGGGGTATTGGATTAGGGTTACTAGAAGCGTCTTGCACAGCTGAGGTAGAAAATTTGTTATTGGTGTCTATGAGGGGAGGGTCACTGGGTCAGAGGGTGTGGGAGGTGGTTCGGCTTGAGTTCTAGTCTCCTTAGAGGGAGAGTTAAGGTTTGGAATTTGGGGAATAGTTGAGTTAGTAGTGGGGGCATTGTTAGGGGAGATAAGGGAATTGGGTGGCGGTTTAGAGGAGGTTGGGAGAGGTTTGTGTGGACCTCCGAAGGAGCACCGCTCGTGGGGGTTCGAATGCAGAGGGTACGACCGCACTATCCCGTGGGACAAAACGATCGTAGGCCTCTACACTCGACACGAATGGGTCGATGGAAGGGCAGATTGGATCGCGCATACGACTGACCATTGGGGATAGATGCTGTCGCCAGCACACCCCGATGGGTAGCAATATACACGACCTAGTCACGGGTTTCCCCCACCCGATCCGAGAGATCGAGTGGGGTAAAGTAGATTGCGGGGCCAAGTTTCCCACGGGCGCAAGCCCCCGTGGTTAATTACATCCCGGGCCGGAGCCCGAGAAGACTCTCGATTAAGGATCATACATTATCTTTTCCAAATTGGAATT